GCATCTTAAACAACTGAGGTGTGACACAGATCTGCAGAAAGGTAACATTTGAAAAGGAACTATATTCCTCTCGTGTGCACGAGTGTTACACGGACGCTGACCGTCGCGATGGGAATGTGAAGCCACGAATTCACATTCTTACACACTAAGACAATGAAGTACGGATGCCTGCTTTGTTGATATAGCCATCCACCCTTGCTGTTATTTTCATCACTGCGGGTGGTTTCCGAATCCTTTGTCTCTTGAGCGGAGCATGATGGTCGGTTACCGCTACAGAAATGTGCTAAAAGTACCGATGATTCTCGGCAGTGATGGTGGGCGGCCGGTGGTTATTACGCATATAGCCAACCGGGCATGAAAGGTCAGCACATGAAGGCACTGCAGCGCGTTGAACGGAACGACATTTGAGGGTGGCCCTAACTGCCCCTCTGTTCGAATAATGCAACGCCATAGCTGTTTTTAGCAAGTAGGTAGGCTTGGAGTGATGAGTACAAATACGATATCACTTAATCAGTGGGCAAAAACAAGCAAAACAAAATTACACATCTGCCTAGCTGGATAATTGCATCGAAACTCCGCCTTGGATAGGCAAGTAGGATGCAGCAGGTTTGGATCGAGATCAGGGCGCATCTCAACTTACGTCTTCGGGTTTCATCGATGCAGCGAAAGACCAATGACTTGACATAGTGATGCTGAATTGTGAATGGCCCGCTAGCAGACTCTCACCACACAAAGTATTCCGTAACCTTTGAGCAGTGTTCGTTCGGATTTCGCCTTAAACGGAGTATGCCACCTTTTAATACCTACCTCACGCCCATCTGCTTTGGCCGGCAATACCAGCTGTTGCAAAATCATTCTAAAGAGCTCGGAACATCCATTTGAAGTTCTCGCTTAGATGTGAGAAATGTCATTGAACTCCCTCCTCGACGCTATGAAAATATCATGGTTCATTGCTTTGCTTTCTCAACATGGGTGCTAGGTAATGTTTGAACACACTTAATGACCCGAGCGTTTGTGAAACAAATGGCATGTGAACCGTAAACACTTTACGTAAGGAAAGGATACACAAATGTGAGCCAATTATCAATCGAATATAGCAAAATAAAATACGATGGCATAGGTCTCTCCCTTATGACGCTTAACACAGTGCCTGATAGTGTCTTATTTAGCGAACTAGTGACGGCCTGGCAGGCGCATGTGAGCTCCCTCTCATTGCAAAAAGTGTGAATTTTTTTATTTTTTCGGAGAAATTTAGTATTTGAAAGCGAACTAAAACGCGTGTATCAGAAATGTAAGGATTGTGAAAGATAACCTTCACTCTTGCCGTTGGATGAATGCGGTAAGATCTCTTCGCTTGTAAAAGTGTATCCGCACTTTTTTATACTAAAACCCTTGCAGCGGCTAAACTGCACTCAACGGCCCGGTTTTAAGCCTCCGTGGTCGTCCAATACCCTCTATAGTGCCACATTTTAAAGAGCTGGTAGCTTCTTTTGACAAGCGCTCGGGTGGGGGTCAAATCGAGCCCCTCCTCCCCCCCGAAGGTTTTTCCAGAATGGTTTTCGAATGGCGCGGCTATGCCGCGCCAAATTGTGCATAGCTATAGACAGTTGAATAACAGATCGTTTGGCACCATCAGTTTAGATGTACCTTGTAAAGTCACTGACCTATGGCAGGTCAAAGTCAGGCCATGGTTTCGGCGAAGGCAATTTCTAGGGAATCTTTCAATCTGGTCCAACAACGAAGTGTTAGACGAAGATATACATATCTGAGATGCTTTCTTAGGCAACGTAGCAGTTGAATGAACATATTGCATTGACCTTAGGTCGGGTATGAATGTCACACAAAGGTCAAAACCAACCTGTTTTGTTGCTCTAGGGCTTGCTGTATGGGAGAGTTTCTGGTGCTCGTTTCGAATTTATTAATAGCAGAAACCGCATTATGCATCTTCCATGGACTTCTTAGAAGTCAGAATAGGTCATTGACCTAAAATAACCCAGGTCAATATTTTGTTTTAGGAACATACTGCCAGGCGTAATCTTTGTCGCTTAGCCAAATGCAAAACTCAAAGCAATCTTATACGATTTTAGCCACCTTGACCTTCAAAAGTTTAAACAAAGTCACTGAGCTTGAATGGAAATGAGACCTTTTGCTTAGAAACAGTTGTCTAGGTTCTGGGGCACTTTGGAGACCAACCTGGAACTTAACCTTGCTTGACCTTTTTGACCAAAAAATCATGGCCTAGTAACCTGAAACTCTTACCTAAGTGAGTTCACGTACAGGTCAACACACCCCGTAAATTTGGTGTCTCTAGCTCTCTTAGCTCCCGAGATCTCAGTTAGGGTCAAATTGACCCCCGCCCACCTGAGCAAAGGGCATCCAGCCGGCCACCCGGGCGCGTGTTGAAATAAACACCTACAACTGGAAGCTTGATGTATTGGGCCCAATCTGTATGACAGGGATGGCAAAAGTGTAATTCGTGTCGCCAACCAAATGTCTGCATGCAAAATTATCGCCAGCAGCCTAGCTTAATACCATATGGCATAAAATGGTAGTGAAGTCTATGCCCAGTAGCGTCATCATGAATCGGCTGATCACCAAACGCCTCCTTCATCACCGCAATTTTCAATATCATGCCCACAATCAAAACGCTTTTTTATACAATATTTTTCCACAGGTCCGGATAACTACTGCTGCTAGGAAACAGGCACACCGACCCTAGACTATGGGATAGCCCAATCACAACAACAGTCTTCTTCCACTCTTGGGACTTGTCGGGCCTCACGTTCAAAGTCGATGTACGGTTGCATTTGCTCTCCTCGACTCCGAAAACAGAACAACGAAGAAACTCGATAGTCAGGTCAGCTGAATATGACAGAATTCGAACCGGTGGCAGGTAGCTCGGGGGATGACATCCAATAGGCAGGCCTCCTGGAGGTCATGTCCCCTTACGAAAATCACGTACGCTCTTTGAAAATCACGCTCTTTGAGCCCACCTCAACCGTCATCAAACTCCCCACCATGCTTTAGCAATGCTCCAAGCCAGGCGCAACATGTATTGCCTAGTGAGCGCCGTTCGCCGTGCCCCAACAAGAAGACTGTGTTGAAATTTGTTAATATATTCACATCAGGCTGTTAGCTCTTTCCGAACAGCATACTCCTCTGCTAGGAGGGAGAAGAGGGACGATGCAAAGCCCCCCCCCCCCCCAAGGTTCTCTGAGCATATCAGTCCGGCAAACTGTGCAGACGTGCCCAGATCTTTGGTAGCCTCTGGGGCATCCATTGCACGTGTGTTAACACCTAGACGTATGCCAAGCGTTTCTGGTTTTGGAAAAGTGACGGTTTTTACGAGCACTGCAAGACGATCCACGGCAAGCGGTGATTCTGCAGACCGCACGTGGAGGGCTGACGCTGTTACATTAACGAAGTCCTACATTATAATCATAGGCTCAAAACAAATTAAGCTACATGCCATTACACCCAAACTCAAACGAAGAACATACCTCCTTATGTTCCATGTGTCCACGTAGCATAGTTTCGTACATACGAGCATGCAAAGCTGAAATAGTCTGATTTTCAGAAAAAATTAGCCTTATACTTGGTCTAGTGAGGTTAATTGACAACATGATACTTCTCAGCAATTCCTAGGTCTTGTTAGACTATTTTAGCTCACTGTTTTTCTGTAAGACTCTACATTTTTAGCTCGCAAACGGCAGGGACCCCCCTCTCGCATCAGTCCGCATTATGAAAACCGACAAATCGGGGTAAGGGTTAAAGTTGTTGGCTTCCTTCCTTTTTAATTATTTTGCGTGTACTGGTGTAGCACTCTGCGTTCCAGATCATGAAAAAATCGGCTGATAGAGCAGACCGCTACATTTCGTTACCAACATCCATGTATTTGTAGAAATTCAATCGGCAAGCCAAAACTGCCGTTTGCACGCAAAGCAGCAAGCAAATCTAGCAAATCTAACCTCCTCGTTTAATCATACCTAATCTGATTTCCTTCGTGGTATTCACCTATCACATGCTTGCATTTTTATAAAGATGGCTGGCGATAATGCTAGTAAAATCGAGACGACAAAGTAGCGATGAAATGTAACATCTGCTCCGAACGCTGTCAACAGAATTTGACATGTGCGTTAGTTAGCAGCGTGTGCGTTAAGATTTTGCCTTTATCATGTCTATTATAATGGAAGTTCTGATCAAGCCGAGATGAAATCATAGTCGTGCGTAATTGCGTGGGCTACGATGAATATGCCTCACTTTAATGAGGCTAATGAATGAATGGGATGTAATGAAATCATTAATAATGTATACACATGACTTTCACTAGACTGACTAGAATGCAACGAATAACCTCACTTGCATGTCTTGTATGCGCCAAGATCGCCTACTGCAGAAATGAGGCGAGAGGCTACAAATAAATAAAATGTCACGTACTCTGCCCAAACGTTGACTGCGTAATTGAGTATCACAAATCGTGCAAACACATTGAATATACTGTTAATGCTATAATAGCACTTCCCCAGTGTCACCTTAAGACGCCACCGGTCTCTAGGTTTCACCAGAGTATAAGCGCTACAAAAATATGCCACAAAAGTAAGGCGCTCCCTACCATTTACGCATACAAAAACGTTGCTATCCGTGCCTCTCCTTTCGGTAACAACCCAATCGGTGCAGTTGCTCTATCGCACATTGTTTGATTGCATCAGCTTCGATTTTTTCAGCCCGCATTCCCCGTGGCTTTAAAGGTCCTCCCCTCCCGCTCAGTATGCGGTCGCTGAGTTTCCCAACTTATCTTGGTACTATCTAGCGCTATCTAGCGCTTATCTAGCGCTATCAACTGTACGCGCCGCTGCCCGGCCCTGACTTTTGACTCGGCCGCCCTTTGCGCGGGGAACACAGCGGCCGCTGGCGCTGCGTTACTGGGGGCGTGACGGGCGGCGGGCGGCGGTCGCGTCACGGGTCGACGGCCGGCCGGCGTGGGCGGCGCCGGCGGCGGTTATAAGGGCGGCGCCGCGCGGGGCCGGGCGAGTCGCCCCGTCTTCACAGGCCCGCCTCGCCATGTTGTCGGCCCTTCTCCTCTGGATCGGCGTCGCCGCCGTCGTCGCGGGTGAGAGTGCGGACCCGTCGACTCGGGGAGTCGGACCGGTCGCGTCGACGGCCGAGGGTCGACGCGTCGGCGTGGGCAACGGCGTGACCGCCGACGGCCGGATGGGCACACGGTTCTGAGACGCCCAGCGAGACTGTGGCAAGCGTCTCTGGTGCTGTCTGACGCAAGTAGCACCATTTCATCCTGTGTGGGCCTGTTGCTGAGATCGTTAGCGAAAGAAGGGAATCCCGATTGACGAAAACTGTTAAATGGAGCTCAATGGGGCGCAGGGATAACAGCTTGCAAGTGTTATTGCAACATGTCCCATGGTGGCTCAATGAATCCACCTGATATTAAAGCAAGCTGATAAAAGTTAGAGTGTAACTTTTGCAGGTCATCACACAAACACACTGTCATGAGTGCACGAAAGTTAAGTGGCTATCGCTGTGCGTTCGTTATCATGTTCGTATCAATGGCGTTCGTTAATCATGTATTCTTACGTGATTGCGCTTTTGTCTGTCAACTTTTTTCATAAGCTTTGTCCCTGTTGATCCATAAATGATTATGATATACTACCATAGACCAGTCAACTTAGATGACCTTTACTTCTAACTTTTGGTATCATGCCAAGTCGCTTTGTAATGTGTTGATTTTCGCTATGCTTAGCAGTAATCACGTCTTTTTTGCTGGCGGATGACATAATTTCCTGAAAGATTGTCATATATTACTTCGGAAATTGCCCTTTTCATTAATATGCTTATGATACTTGCTTAACCGGCAGAATTAGCCTGCCTTTTCTTTGTCGTTAGACCTGATGTTGTCGCTTCCTCGTCTGCATATGTCATTTTTCCATAAAAGGTCATCACAGTTCATGGACCTAGGCTAGTCCTGATTGAATGAAACGGCACGGCGACTTGTGGGCCGCCGGTTGACAGCTTAGAAAAAAAATCAGATGGATAACGTGACACGACCCTGCTCCTTGACCTACAATTGCCATATGTCCGCAGTGAGAGGTTTTCCAATTGCATAATTTATTTACCCACATTTTATGCGGGTATTTCGTTCTGTCCGCCCGCATATAAACCACCTCCTCATTATATGCATAGGGAAAGTCGAAACTTCTCCACGCAATCGTATGACAGTAGATGGAAATCAGCGTGTCTATCGGAGGAACTGAGAACTGGAAAATCTGCTTTTTGTTTAAACGATAGCGGAACATCACTCTTCTTATAATGACACATTAAGAATTCACATTCACTATCTCGTATATTACTCTAACTTCATCTTTTATCCGGAACTCGCATGGCATTATTCTGGGAAGCGATGCAAGTGATCTTAAATATAGACATTGGTCGATCTGTCGACAGATTTGCACTTTTGTAATAGCCAGTCATTGAATACGCAAGGTATCCATTGTAAAATGTCGAGTGCATACATTTTCGGAAATTTATATTGCAAAATTTGTCACTGCAAGGGTCGCGGTATGTCAAAAAGATGGCCGTCGCCGACACACCGTGATGGTGATGACCTCGGCGATTGGTCAAAACCCCAGCCAGCATGTTCCGCACGTGGCTGGGTTTCATGCCCTTAGTTGCTGGTCGGTCGACGAGTTGGCCGACAATATCGACGGACGGACAGGGACGTGCCGGGTGCGGTGAACACCAGGCTGACCAATACAAACTGATGCGATGCACTTCCGCCCAGCCCGCGACGCGTGAGGACATCCGCCGGTGGATGTGCCGGGGAAAGGTTGCCATTGCCTGGTGTGTTTTGTCCGGGTGGGTCTGTGAACACCGCAGGACTTCGCGACGGTCCTGCGAGGAGCTGGCCAGCGGGATAAAATGGTGATGCAAGATACCGGGCCACGAGGCTTTTTTTGCATTATAGTGCAGATGCCTGGATCACGCTCAGATGCACTTAATGTTCCTGTTAATCGCAAACAATGCACGAGCCTCCAAACAGTCTTGCGAACATGCGGGGTACACTGATGAGCCTTAGCTCAGTGGCCCCTTCCGATACCTTTGCATAACGAAGCATTCATTTATTCCAAATTATGAGGGTAATTATCGATGAAGATGCGTTGTTGTACGAATTACGTGTCAGGCTCTTGCCTCTGCCGATGACGGTTTCAATACTGTTAAAGCTTTAAAGATCACTCTGTGGCGGGCCATCACGCATTAGGTCCCAAGGGTTTACTGCGATTGCCCACTCTCACTCCTACTTTGTATGAGCCAGGGCACGCGCAAAGAGATAAGAAGCCATAGGCCTGTATTGCAGTTTGAAAGTAGAGTTTTGTTTGACTTTTGTATTATTCACTCCATCAGATTCCATAAAATTTGTCTATATTGTGGAGCGTCGATTTCATTTAAATAAGGGAACTTCCCTCTGTCGACACGAGGCAGCACTCGCCGACGATCCATTTCTTGCCTCGTTCAACGAATTTGAAATATTTTGTGGTGAAAAGCAACGATAATTATCATCTTACGTTAACAAAACCACTCTTATTTTGCCGCCCAGTGACAGTTATTCCAAGAGCATCTGCGGATGGCGGACTCAGCCAGAGCGAGCTTCACGTTGACAAGCCAAATGCGTCTGACTTTGCCCGCTTAAGCCTTGGTGTCATTTTACTTGACGGTACTCACATCCGGCATTGCTTCACCCGCCCCATGCCAGGAAAAACGTAACGCTGTTCATGTTAAACCGAAGCTCAAAGCTAAGTTTCAACGAGGCATCCAGATGGTGCCATGATTTTCAGTGCAAGGGCTTGGTTTCATTCAGTCACGTTTCGGGCGGTGGACTTCTCAAACATCTCGATCAGTTAGCATTCACTTTGGAGGATAATTTGCTACTCTCTCGCTTCCATGCGCACTGCCATAATAAATAGGTGGTTGCAGTTGCAGTTTTATTCGCCATATAAGTACGATGAAGACCCAAGGCAAATGGGCATTGTCAGGGGCTTTCCACCAGTTTAGAAGTCCGAAATATGCTAAAATGTTCCTTTTGAAACTGCAGTCCGAATCCGCTGCTGGCATAAATCACTGTTACAATTTATCGTGCCATAATGTGGCATTGGCCTCCCATAGCGCCCACAGTCCCTACGTCAGAGTGAAAACTTCGCAGCAATAGTACAGCATAAAGGGTCGATTGCTGGCTTTCAGATATGATGCTTAATAGGAGGAGATGTTAACAAGTTTTGCACGTTTAACCTAAATCTAACCTTTATGTGGACCGGCCTAATTTTAGCGGGGACACATGTCGCGCGGTCGGCTATAAGATGGTGGCCTGAATAGTACACAGCTCAAGTATGTGTCTAATCCGAGAATACGGCGTAATAAATCGTATGATCTATCACGATCCATATGATTTATCATGAATCATATATTTGGACACATAGACCGGAATATTAGGCTCAGACTTCAGCTGTGACTAGCCTACGTTCACGCGCAGCGGACGGGCGCCAGGCGAGAGCACAACAAGGATACTTGATGCATGGTTGTAGCTGTAGTAGCAGCTTTGGATGCTGGCAGCCGCATGCAACTTTTATTTTATGCCGCAGAAAAAAAAAATTAGCGGCAGTGAAATAACTAAATGGTCTAGGTTTTGCCTATCGTGAACAGAAATATACAGTGGAATCTCCGTTCAAGCCTAGGAAGCAGTGTACTTTAACCTTAGGCCTTTACAATCATATGGTTGTTAATACCACTCTTCGCGATGCTATATTACGTCCTAGTTGAAACATCACGCATTGAATTCCATGCAGAGAATTCCTAACTTATGCATACGATGCAAATCATTGTTTTCTATCGCGTGTCATTTGGAGCCATGGCTGCACACCAAATTTGACGAAATTGAACGTAACACTATTTGGTCGATACTACGGGGGACAAATTAATCAAAGGATGTTCCTATCCCGTATTAGCACTAAACTGTGGCTCCTCCCCCCCCCCCCCACCCCACCCCACCCCACCCCACCATCACCACCGACCTATGCGAAAATTGAAAATTTACCCCACGGATTTTTTCTTGTGAGATTTAATCCTAACCCTTTGAATGGATGGATTTCGGGGACCAGAGCTCACGCCAAGCAGTGCTTGTTGTGTAACCCTGACCCTACCATCTGATTGCGCAGTTCCACGTCAACGGCAGAATTCGTCGGTGCAACATTAACGTGTAGCAATGCTCGGCACGGTCTGTCCTGCCTTCTGACGTCATCTGACCTTTATAGCGGCCGCTGCCACTAGCCGCAGGCCATACCTGTCAAGGCCAAATAGCGAGCGCACGAAGCGACTCAAACTCACCCCGCCGTGGATGGGTGGATCGTAAGGCGGCCGTTCTGACCAAATGAGCCATCTGACGGACAACAGCAGCCGCATGCAACATGTGGACGTGAACGCAAAAAAACAACGAAACATCGCTGTCTCGCCGTCCATGAGAGGTTTTGCCTAAAAGAATATGTTTCTATTTTATGAACACTACAAGATAGAAGCGAATGACCCTTGCCCATCCCATAACATACGGGGAGCCTGATGTACGCCGCAGGACCGCCGACGGTTGACAAGTCCGAACAAGGACACAGGGGCGCCCTCGACAGGAAGGGTGAACGCTAAATTTCCGGGAAAGTGGGAGTACCATGGTATGCATCAGGGTATCCTACGAAGGAAGAACCAGGCTGAAATGTGTTTAACTATGTACGCAGCACGCCAAAACGCATCAGAATACCCCAAAAACAAAAAACAATCATATGTCCGTACCTGCCCCTCTACCCCTCCGCAAATGCGTCGGTGGGCTCTGGTTATCTTGACCATGTCTCCGCTTTTTCGAGGCCTGCGTGCATCACCAGTGCCACTGGCGGTGCCCCTCGCAGCACCGGTGACGCTGGTCAGTGTCCGCCATTACACCACAGTGTTAATGGCTGTCCGCCGAATGCGTTACAGCCCAGGTAGTGCCGCTGACTGGTATCCGCCGGCGTTACAGCCCAGGTAGTGCCGCTGACTCGTATTCGCCGGCGTTACAGCCCAGGTAGTGCCGCTGACTCGTCTCCGCCTGCGTTACAGCCCAGGTAGTGCCGTTGACTCGTCTCCGCTTGCGTTACAGCCCAGGTAGTGCCGCTGACTGGTATCCGCCGGCGTTACAGCCCAGGTAGTGCCGCTGACTCGTATCCGCCGGCGTTACAGCCCAGGCAGTGCCGCTGACTCGTATCCGCCGGTGTTACAGCCCAGGCAGTGCCGTTGACCGTATTCGCCCCCCTTGCAGTCCCTGTGCCCACCGGGAACAGTGGTCCGCTTGGATCGCTGCTGGGCGCGACGCCGAACTGCAATATCTCGAGCGAATCGAGCCTGGGGCAGAGCGGCCGCACCGCCGGTAACGCCGCCGTGTCAGGCACCACCTCGACCAGCGGCTCGGCCAGCGGCCTCTGCGGCTTCCAGAGCCCCATCGCCAAACTGAAGGACAACGGCGCCGTCAACTCGGGCGTCACCGGCACTGTTGTCTCTGCCGGCTTCGGCAGTGCCGGCCAGCATGCCAACTCCAAAGGAGGTGACGTTACGCTGTCGCGCTGCCGCGGCGGTGGTGTTGCAGACAGGGCTGGGCGTGGGTGTGGGCCTGTATATAGGGGTGGCGAACACTATGACTCTTTTTAGAAGGTCGCATATCGTCCCGTCCTGATGAGCGGTATGGAGTGGCCTTGCAAGGGTTTTGCATGCAACTCTGGGACGTTCGTTTATCTCTGCCGTTGGGTGTACACCTTCGTGGGCAAGGCTCATTGGGGATAAGCGTGATTCACAGCGAGCAGAACTTCTGTCGACTGGCCTGTTTGATCAAAGTGAACGCCAGCCGTCCCTTACTCCGCCAGAGTATGTTAAGAATCAAGCACCTCAACCCATTGTACTTATCAATTAACCCTCAGTTAAACACATGTCCCTGCACCTGTCCACCTACATGGTGCAAGTGAAGTTGAACCGTCCAATTCGCGCACCGCAAGCCGCGCATCGAGCCGCATTTGCATTATTGCGTCACGTTTCACTGACGCACCATGATGACTGTGGCCCGGCTTAGGAGCGTGCGTTGGCTCCTTGACTTGCAGCCGTGGGCACCCCCACGGGCCGCGACACCCACCGTGACCAACAACGAGCGGACCCGGCTAGCGGCGGGTTCTAATGGCGGCGGCGGCGTCTCGCAGGGTGGCGGTTGCCAACGCTGGCGCCACCAAGAAGAAGGTCGTCGTCGTCGTGCTCGCAAGACGGCCAAAATGGTGGTGAAGTTGGAAGACCAGGCAGAGGGCTCAGGCACCTCCTCCAGCGGCCACAAGGCCTCCAGCACCCACAACGTGTGTGTTCAACATCCAGCAAGGGGGCGAGACGAAGATCAAGCTGCCGCCGCCGCTCACTGGCTGAGGGGCGGACCCCTAAGCGGCTGCCGACCGGGCTCGAAACGAATCCTCTGCTGGACCCAGTCGCTCTGAAGCCCCCCCCCCCCTTAACTCCTCGCCCACCCTACCCGCCTGCACTGGTGAGGCCGTCGTGGCACTCAAGCGCTGTGCGACTCCATACACCCGCCCCGGAGGGGCGGGCCCAGAAAACCGAATTGTGCACATCGGTTACGACCTGATTCGGCAGTTTTCACAGAGGCTGATTTGTAACTGCTGATAGCTGCCTGTGGGTGCATTTGGTGACCTCGTGGAACAGAATTAATAAACCGTGGGATCTGATTTTGTAACTCCGCGCAAAGACATGACGCAGTCGACAGCGGCGTAGGCCTCAACGGCGGAGCGTGCTTACTGCAGTCAGCTGTTTGTTTTACAGATGATTCAGGTTCTCTCAGGCTCTCAGATACAGGTTCTCTGTTGGAGCCGCCTAAGCGATGGGACGGAACTTATCAGGTCTTCTTCTTTCCCGTATGCTTCTTTGTCCATTGCATGTGAACCGCGCATGAGGAACTGGTATCTATTGTGGGCAAGTATGGAACCGTGGATGTCGAAGCAGGAGGCGAGCGTATTGAACGGCCGAGCGTACTGATGTCAAGCTTCAGCATACAACAAGTAGATGTAGCCTCGTTGAAGGCAGTCACGCCATAATTGCTCCACTGAGCCAACAGCTAGACCATAGCGGCCCTGCTGACGTGGACTGCGCTGACCTTTGGGCGCTGTCGGTGGGCGTCAGTGGGGCGGCGGTGAGCCGGATAGGGGTCAGCGCGCCGCGGCGATCGGCACTGACGGCTGACAGCCAGTCCCGGGGCAGGGAGGGGGGGGGGGGGGGCAGTCGTCCGTACCGGCGAGACGGCACGGGCGACCGCTGATAGGTCAGACAGCTCGTGCGGCGGGATGGACAAGCAGGGCTGGAGGCGCTGGGGGCTGACCGCCGCCCGGACCTGCAAACAAAACTGCCAACCGCCGTCGGGGCGGGCCGCAGAGCGGGAGTGGATCGACCCCCCCCCCCCGCCCCGGACCTGCGGCCAGGACTGCCGACCGAAGATGGGTCTGGCCGAGGGCCAGGGGCGAAACACAACGCTACTGATCGCATCGCACGTTCAAAATTATGTTACATAATTGTTTTGCACTAATCGATTCAGCACGAGGGTTGGCATTCTAACACTATGTAGATTGGTCATGTTCGTACAAATTGCTGGCCCACTTTGATCAACAATCCGCGTTGCCGGGTCCTGAGCATCTTTGTAGAACACAGCAATATTCTGACAGAGCCCAGATTTGAGCCAAAACCCCCGAAAGCTCTCGGTTTAGAAAGCCCATTGAGCATTTAAAATGAAAGTGCCATCCGTATTTCAGGCGGTCGTTCCGCGCCCTTCTCCTTCAGGTTATTCACATCAAAATGCAAATAGAACTGCATCTTCCGATAGCTTCTGGCTTTTGTTCCACTTAAAGAAAGTAAAGTGAAACTTAAAAAAGAAAATGGTGCTCCCTGGAAATCAAGTGAGCCATGCCTGGTGACTTTTTTGGGGGGAGGGGGCGGAGCTTTCGTCATCAGGGGACCACTCGTCAACCCTGCGTCCCCTCATCACGAGTCTGGCTGTGCCCCTGCGCCGGACATCCCAGCTAGTGAAAAAAAGCTATATTTTTTGTTTCAAACCATTGCTTAAATGCGCTTTTAATTAGGAGTACAAAGCATAAGTAACCAGACCAGTTCATGACATCGGGTTCTTACGACAAGTTCCAGAGCTTATAATGCGGTTTTAAGGCCCTCTATCTAGAAACGCAGGCTTGCCATCCCAAAGGTTTGCTTTCTGTACACCAATGAGCTGCGACGCATTCCCGGAATTCGGTAATGAGGTAACACCGACCGGAAACGCTGTTTACGCCTCTACAAAAGCTTTGTGCACGGTTGGTTCGAGGTGGCACATGCCAAGAGGAGCATCGCAGCAGAAATAGAACCCAGTTTTTCTCATGGAATGTTTCCCAGGGAAACAATGGGCGTTCCTGCTCACGTTTTGGAGCCAAAATAGGAGTTTCGAAGTGGTGTAGTTGACCATGATGCGACAAAAAGCAGATCAGATCAAACGAGTTGTGTTTGCTAGCCGAATGAGGAACCTGTGCTACTCGATCGACCCGCATTGATGGGAATCGGCCATGCGTGTCAAGATGATGTTACAGGCGGCAAAGCCGGCTGAAAATAAACAAAATAAGCCACTTGTAATTCCCAGTTATATTTAGGCCAGCTGAGCCGGGTTGCAAATGACTGGCTGCGTGAGGAAGTCAAGCGTCTCATTAACGCTGACTACGTCGGATGTGCTCGAGACAGAGGTGAGTTCCGAATCGAGAGCGTCGCTCAGATTGCGTACGTCACGCCCGTTTTTAGTTCGGTTTCGCAGAAATACACCCAGTCGGGCTCTCATCCGAGGCCTGTCGTGAATGATTTGCAGCTTGTGGAGTCTCATCCTCATCCGGTGGATCACATGACCGGACGATGACGCTGTCATAGCAATGGTCCGCCATCTTGAGACGTTAACTTGCAAACAGCTTTGACGTCATCAGCCTACAGAAGGCGACGGTTCACTGGCGAGGGGAGTCATCGCAAAAGGGGAGAGAGAAGCTGGGTTAGAAGAGACCCAGGACGCCAGAACTCACCGGTTCCGTAGCGGTAAAGTTGACAAGAGCCCCTGCGCCTATCCGACAGATACGAGCAAACCATTCCAACGCGATGTGGTAAAGATGAAGGGAATGATGGTGTTTTCAATCACTGTTTCCAAACTGCTAAGAATGAACGTTGCTTTATCCTCAGCACACAGACGAAGACGCGCGGCCTCTGCCCGCCGATGTGTGATCACGAAAGTGATTGAAATACACACATCACACGACTAAGTGCAATCCATTATTAGGAGGCATATTGCCCGATCTCCGCGAGAGGCTGCTTGTCGGCGTCTTGTCATAGAGACACAATGTAAATGGAGTGCAGAGTGCACGAGCCGCATAATTACAACAGACGTCCCAATGATTCGCCACCTCCCGCCGGGGCACGCGGCGGACGACGCGTCTCCTCTTGTGTCGCCGGCCGCGTCATTGGCCGCCGACTCCCCAACACCAACAACTAATCACATTTAACGCGGATGTGTTGTCGGCTATAATCTGCGCCAAGTGCCGTTATTAGCTCTAAGTCCACCCTAATTGCCGGCGGTGCGCCGCCCCGCTGGGCACCGCCGGGCGCGCACGTGTGGACTCAGGAGGGGTCTGGAAACGTGAGCGGGCACATTGTCAGCTGCCGCCGTCAGGTGCCCCCCCCCCCCCCCCCCCCAGCGGCGGGGGCGGCGTCGGCGCCAGCTGACTCGCAGCCCTACGCCGGCGGCTGCAGCTGCTTAACCTGATCCAGACGTTAGGAGCGGTAACCAATTCAATAACGGCCCGCTCGAGCTGCCAATCAGCGCCTATTGAAGCGCGCCGCCGCCGGCAAATGGCGCAAAGTGCCCGCCAATGATGTGATAAAGATCTGAAAACCGGGCCGACGCCGGGAACGTGCTGCGACAGCGCGCGGCGCGCTCGGCGCCGGGCGCCGAACAATCGCCGCCGCCGCTGCCGCTGCATGGGCGGCTCTGCTCTATCAAACTTTGCCTCCCGACGCGGGCGACGCGCCACGGCCGCGTCGACGTCTGTGGCCGGGGCGACCACGGCCGCGGCAAGACAGATCGACTGGAACTGATGCCCTCAAAGACGATGATGGACGGTTGCTGAAAGGGCTGTCTGAGAAGCTGATTGTATAGTTATCTAGTTATGCAATTTTCAGCTTGATTAGAACGGTGTGACCCTAACTTTCTCCCCGAACGGCGAATCCTCTTCTTCCCGCTAACCACATGGAACAGAGGTATTTTCCAGGTCAAAGAAGGAACATCTATATTCCTACCTGCATACTGGATTTCAGCAGGTACTTTTGTGTGGCCGACCACATCAAACGGACTCGATTAACTTCACCGGATCGACATTTCTTGGTTTGCTGCAAATAACCGCAGCCACACCCACAGTGTCAGCTACACTGACACTATGAAAGCCTGAAATATCAGAACCGCTGCCCAAGAGCGTCGTAGTTTTCCAGGGACCCGACCATCTGCTCTTCTGCGTCTGCCCAACAACCTCAGCCTACGTGCCACAGGTGCAGTAGGCCGACACTCAACTTTTGGTCAGTGATGAAATGTTTTGTTTCCAAAACGTTATTGCTACGGTGTGGCATGCTGTG